TTGATATGACATTCGGATGTCAATTTACTATAGCCTTATTGAATTGATTCTTGTCTCAATTTTTTGGACCGGTGCAATCGATGGAATTGGGTTTAATAAAAAAGGAACTTTAATAACTTAGCATGGAATCCCTTCGTAATAAGCTTGTATGCTTTCTATTACTATGCTCATCTAGCCTTCCTTACCCTATACACTTCTATGAAAAACAAACATCGGTTCTCTAACTAACGTGGTGAAAACTCACTAAAAGAAAGATAATTACCATTGATATGAAATTTAGATGTTGATTTACTATAGCCTATTGAATTACACACAAATACCAAGAAATAAGCTTCAATTTTATTGATTCAAAAAACATCAAAAATTAGGATAAACCGAGATACACTCTCATAAAACATTATTAGCTATCAAAAGTGGCATTTGTCATCTTCAAAGTCATATATAAATAATAAATTTTCAAGCAAAACCCTAAAGTAATTCAAAAAGGAAACAAACACTAAAATCCAAAAATATTAAGGAAAAATCTCAAAAAATAATTTTCTCCTCGCATCCGTCATCTTCTTGTATGGAATAAAATGAACCATCTTAGAAAAACGATCAATAACCATATAGATAGAATCATTACCCCGCTATGTCCGAGGTAATCCCAAAATAAAATCCATGCCGACATCCACCCAAGGCTGAGATGGCACGAGCAACGACATAAAAAAGTTCGACATTAGTAGCTAGATCCTTATATACTTGGTAGATTCAATAGCATTGTACAAATTTTCTCCATTTCTTTTCGAATGGTTGGGTAAAGTAAAAATTGTAAACCGGTGACAATGTTCTACCTCACCCCATATGCTTTTCCCTATGTAGTTCCTTAATGATCTACAAATGCAAGCTGCAATTGAGAACATAAAGCTGGTTTTTCTTGAATAGGAACCCAACATACAATAGAAATTCTATCTTCTCTCTTATGTGAAATTTTCCCATAACAATAGGGAAATATGGATCGAGTATCAAACAAATGACAAAGCAAGTCTTAACCGGGTACCTCAACTTGCATAAGAGTTAACAAATAACTCCTCTTACTCAATGCACCCATCACTCTATTAGTGACCCCACCCTTATACTTAACCATAAAAGTAAATTATTACGAAAAAGCAATCCATCTTGCATGCCTTGTCGACACTTTATCCTACTTATGTAAGTGTTTCAATGCCTCATAGCCGAGTATATAACACGAATTTCTGTGGAATAGGTAATGCCTTTAGTGTTTTACAACTTAAACCACTACGTAGAAATCCACATCATAAGTACTCGTAATTAAGCTTCACACCTAACGACTTCTCATTGAAGTGGGCTACTTGGTGTACTATTCTAACTCGAAGACCGCCCCAATGCTGAATTTCGATGCATCACCATATAGCTCGAAGGGATGCATAAAATCTAACAAGATTAAAATCAAGGCGAGTTGTCAATTGTGTCTTAATCTTTTGAAATGCTTGCTCTATCTCTTCAATCCAAGTAAACTTAGCTCCTTTTATGCAGATCACTACTTGGGGCCATAATGCTGCTAAATGAAGAATAAAACATCGATAAAAAAAGGTAAGCCCATGGAAGCTCCGAACCTTAGTAATGGTGCTAGGTCGAGGCCATTGTCTCACCATCTCAATCTTGGACTCATGTACTTATAATCCATCTCTAGAAATGATATAACCAAGGAAAAACACATTGGGTACCATAAATATATATTTTTTCACTACTACATAAAACTTATCGCTACGAAGCATTATCGAACCTCTCTTAAATACTAAATATGGACTTCAAGATTAACACTATAAATTACAATATCATCAAAGTAAACAATGATAGATTTACTAATAAATGGCTTCGGGGCTCGATTCATGATAGCCATAAAAGTGCTCACTATGTTTGGCCCAAACAACATTACTAACCATTCATACGACCCTTCACGTGTCATAAATGCCGTCTTCCACTCATTTCTAGGCCTAATGCATATATGATGGTATCAACTCTTTAAATCTAGTTTCATAAATATTATTGCACCATTAACTTGATAAAGTAAGTTATCTAGTCATGGAATAGGAAACCTATACCGAACTATGATCTTGTTAATGGCTCGACTATTTACACACATGTGCCAAGAACTATCCTTTTTTGGCATCAATAAAGTAGGTACTACACAAAGACTCAAGCTCTCTCACACATGCTCCTTGGAAAGCAGCCCCGAACTTGTATCCTCAACTCCTCATACTCACTAAGACTCATTCTATAATAGGGTTTGTTGGGCGATGTGCACTAGGCTCTAAATTAATATAGTGCTGGATATCTCACAATGGTGATAACTCCTTGGGTAACTCATTTAAGAATACATCATGAAATTCTACCACAAGAGGGGTTACCGCCTTCGATATTACCTAATTAGTTTCGATTTCCTTCCCAATCAATACATAGATCACTCTTAAATGCTACAACTCCTCCTCAACTGAACCAGACAACACTAGCTTACTATTATCACTTGCAAGCTTGGAAATAACTAGAATCTTATTAGGCATAAGTACAATTTTAACACCATTAAATATAAGCCTATAGGTATTAGCTTGTCCATCATGAGTAACACTCCTATCACACTACCACGGTCTCCCTAATAATAAATGATATGTATCCATGACAACTACAACACACCACACATCATCCTTATACTTGGAATTAGTAAAAAAAAGCTAGAGCTCATTGGGAAACAAGTTACCTCTCCTCCCTTTTCAAGCCGAGCTAGTTTGTAAGGCTTAGGATGCCCCTCTGTTTCGAGCCTCGGTTTCTTCATTGCTTTATCAAACGTAATATTTTCATAACTACTAGCTTCAATGATAAAACGATATACCTTTTCTTAAATTGTGTAGATGGACTAAAAAATACTACTCTTTAGCCAATCATCATCAACAACTCCTAGAGTCAAGCGGAACCTCCTAACAACTAGTGCTATCCCCTCATTGCCCATCACAAAATCCTTTTTCGTGGTATCTCTATCATCGTAAACTAGATCACCGACCAACTCTACATCACCCTCATTGTAATCCTCCGTATAAGCCGAAATGCCCCTTTCCTTACCTTCCGAAACTTAGACTGTCTTTAGCCAACTTTGCCTCACCCGAAGCACTTAATATTGTTATTAGCTACCATGCTAGTCCGACCGATAGCGTGCATGTTCTTGTTACCGTCGCCTCTTACCCGAACTACACCACTACCACCTAAACCGTTACTACCTCTCTTACGGAAAGAATTAATAAAACCGCTCAAGTGGTGCAATTGCTTCTCAACTTATAGTGCTTTTTGAAAGGCATCGAAAGGCACACAAGGTCAAACATATTAACTAAGTCCCTAATCTACGAGTTTTAAGCCATCATTATACCTCGTCACCAATTGATCCTCTATTTTTTGTAATTCGTTTCAAGCTAACAATTGGTAAAACTTAGTGGTATAATCATCAATCGATCGAGTCCCTTACCTCAAATCCTACAACCGTTGGTACATCATCCTTTGAAAGTTATAGGGTAAGAAGGCGGTATGCATGTATTTCTTTATCTTTTTTCAAGAATTAATTTTAGCTTTATCTATCCGGTTTTTGATGAGTTCCAAATGCTTTCACCAATCAGTCACCCTTTTTTTCTAAATCTAGTGGTTACTAAAGATGCCCTCTTATCCTTTAGAAACTCCTTAAACTCTAGGAACTCCTCCACCATTGATAATTAGTCCAAAAACTCTTCGCTTAGAGGGTATCATAAAATTCAAGAATATTTGCTCGCATACCACTCTCCCACCTCCTATCGTCATAATCTCTCGTAGGAACTCGTTGTCGCCTAGTTGAGACATTTTCATCATCCTCCTAATCATCAAGGTCGGCCTCCGGTGCCTCCGCATAATGATTTTGGTTATAGTTCCTCTAGTCTCTACCCATGCTCATCGTTAGTGCACTTATCTACCGTGTCAACACCGTCATCCGTCGTGTCAACTCGCTATAGAGACTGCTCCATCCTATCATTCATCTACTCAACTTATTTTTCTAAACGCACCACATCGGTGCGATCATAGATCTCATCCATATCTTGCTCTCGCTATTGCTCGTCTCCTTGGCGACATGGTCGAAAAGCGATAACTAAGCTTTGATACCAAGCTGATGTAACGAAAACTCACTAAAAGGAAGATAATTACCGTTGATCCGAAATTTAGATGCCGATCTACTATAGCCTAATGAATTGCTTATTGATTCAAAAAAATGCCAAAAAATGGAATAAATTGAGATACTCTCCGGCAAAACTTCATTAGCTATCAAGAGTGACGTTTTTCAACCTCAAAGTCATACATAAATAGTAAATTTTTAGCCAAAACCCTAAAGCAATTCAAAAAGGAAACAAACACTAAAAAATTCAAAAATATTAAGGAAAAATCTCAAAATATAGTACAAGCTGATTTTGAGGGCTTAAACGACGTTTTTTTTTGCCAAAATCAGCCTTGCATATAGGCAAAGCCAATGTGTTTTGATCGTTGGCTCGTTTAGCATCGAAGTAGATTAAAAAAAAAAAAAACTCAAAATTAGATCGACAATTTTTGTTTAGTTTTTATCACATTCATACCATTCCATTAATTCCAAAGCCGTTGGTTCACTTCATTTACATAAGTAACCATCATGAGCGAATTTTCTAATATTCTACTTCCTCAAAGAAATTAACTGAATCTGTACATGATATCCTTGTTTACATGACCTAAGATACACTGAAGTTAAAGTCCAGTACTTTTTATTTGGATGGTTCAAACAAGTGCTTCGATTGTTTGATGTTACTGAATTACTTGACTTCAATTAATTCCAGGATCTGATTCTGTGTTTTATTCTATGTACCTTATGCCACGCATCAATGGCAGTTCTGGGTTACTCAATGTTCGGATCAAAGGTTCAGTCACAAATAACCTTAAGCCTTCCAACTGATAAGTTTAGCTCAAGACTGGCAATATACACAACGCTGGTCAATCCAATAGCCAAATACGCGCTGATGGTTACTCCAATAGTGAATGTTACGAAATGTTGGTTTCCACTGAACCGCAATAAAAGGCCATTTAGCCTCTTCATCAGTACTGCTTTTGTGATCAGCAATATCAATGTAGCCCTCTCTCTCTCTCCCTTTCTTTGGTGATCTTATGTCGCTGGTCGGAGCCTTCTTAAGTATGACAGCTTCTATCGTACTTCCATGTTTATGCTACATGAAGATTTCAGGAACTTATCGAAGATTCGGATTTGAAATGGTGGTATTAGTGAGTGTAGTGCTACTGGGTATTAGTGAGTGTAATACATCTAAGCATGTTTCTCCTTGGTAATGAAGGCAAATGTTGCTGTTTTGATATTGTATGAAATTCCCAGTTACTCAAGTTTAATGTTCCTACGAGTTTATAATTTTGTTGTGAGGATGGAATAATGCTGCGAAATGTAACAAATGCATAGCTATTAGGGATGTACAATAAGCGAATTCATTATCTGCCTTCTAATTATACCAATTGCTACTTGCGTAACACTGAAAATAAACATGTTTGTTATTGTTCTTTTAAAAAGATGTACTTTCAAATTAAGAAAAAAATTGGCAATAATAAAATTTGGGATATAAAGCTATTTAATAAGACATCTTTACCACTATTATTTAATCTATGAATGTCGATCGCGTGAACAGGCTGTTAACCTTCTTTTTCGAACTTGTTTGGTTGACCTTGACTGGCAAACCTTTTTTTTGTTTTATTTATTTATTTATTTTCATCATTCCTGAATCAACACATCTTTCTTAGCAGCAAAAGGCGGCTAGTAGTGGATTGGAATTATCTCTTCCACATCACCATTAGAGCTAACTAAACAACAAAAATATTTGCTAAAAAGGAGACCCGGCAACTTGGATTTTAGGACTTGCAGACAATTCAAGACTTGCTGACCGATCTATTTTGCAACCACTCTTTTCATTGAAGGCATTCAAGAGCCTTTTGCTGATTGTATTTGTTGATTGGAGAATGACTTCTTCATTCAAGCAAAAAACGAAGGGGGAAAAAAAAGAACAAAAGCGAGAGACTAGCTAGTTCCAAAATTTTCTACTAATCTTTTTTACTGGTAGGATTTTAATTATTTCCAGTGTTTCAATTTGTCTGTCTTTTGGACAGCCCAACTTATTTTCTTTTCGTCTAGCGGAATAATCACTACTTTTCAAAGCTACTTCTGTTTTGATGGATGCGTAACGAACAAATATCTTGACTTACACTCACCCCAAAAGTATTATCTTAAATTGGTTGACTAAAGTTTATACAATGAATTTTATGATAAAGCAAAGGCAAAGAATTTATTGGTAAAAACCTTAACAAGGTGTTCGACAAATCTTCGACTTAAGAGTGTTTTTTACAACTTTTTTCCACGTAAAACTATTAGGAAACCATGCCAAATATAATCAAGTTTTCCAATCTTCTCTCCAGTGAAAGGGCAGTTAAACGGGAAAACATATTGCCATAATCAAAACCTTAGCACTCAACAAATGAAAGGGAAATGTATGGAAACAAATAAATAGTACTAAAATATATAACGATGAATGAAAATTTCACGTGGAAGTGCTAGTGAAGGTCCCAAAATCCTCCAATGAAATAAATGACACGACAAGCAATACTGACTACGGGATGTTTACGATTTTCATGTGTAAGTTCAGTCCAGATAGCAACTTTTCGGTCCTTTCACGATCATCTTGTGAGCAACAGCCAGAAAAGAACTGATGGATTCCCCCTCTAATGCAATGCAACTCTCCTCACCCATCTTCTTCAAACCACCGTCTCTCATAGTCCTCCACACATTTGCTGCCTTTTCCCACATCCTAGCATCAGCATACATGTTTACAACCATCACAAAGTTCCCAATCCTCCTGGGCTGTAGTTCAAGCAACTTCTTTCTTACCTTATCTACTAACCCATCATTGTCACTAACATTGTGAATACTACGTGCACTGAGCAATGTCCTCCACAAAAAGGGATCAAGCTGGAAAGGAACATTTACTATAAAGTTATAAGCCTCTTTAAGATGCTCAGCACGACACAAGATATCAACCATGGCACCATAATGTATGACCATTGGTCTAATTCCATGCTTGTGTTCCATTTCATGAAAGTACCACTACAACAAAAAACTGTTTTTGCGAGGAGAAATTAGCGATCGTCCAAAAACCATCGCTAATTTACAAAATTTGGAACGGTTTTAGCTACTTTAGCGAAGGTCCACAAAATCGTAGCTAATTTTTTTCAAAATGACGAGTTTTTAACGACGGTTTTACCAAACCGTCACTAATTACTTGGATTTTAATTCTTTTTTTTTTTTTGAAAAAAACCGTTGATAAAATTGGAATTAGCGATGGTCCATAAGACCGTCGCTAATTCCGTTGCAAAATAATTAGCAACAGTTTTCTCCCGAAAAAAACCGTCAAAAATTGCAATTAAAAAAAAGAATTCTAAAACCAATTTTGTGACGGTCCATAGAACCATTGCTAAATCGTCGCTAAATTTATTTCCGTTGGAGGGAAATGACTATTTTTTCAAAATGTTTTAAAAATAACCAACAATTAGCTACGATTTGTGGTCCGTCGCTAAAACTTGACCTTTAAAAACCCATTTGGCTAAAAATTTTCAAATTTTTTTTCCTCTTCCCTCTCTTCTTCTCCTCCGTTTGTAGCATCGACTTAGGCATATTTTCCATCAAATCTTTCCCCTCTCCCTTATTTTCCTTCCATTCTTCTCCTCTCTTTCCTCCTTCCCTTTCTCCCCTCCATCTCTCCCCCTTACTTCCCTCTTTTCCTCTTTCTTTCCTCCTTTCTCTTCTCTTTCTCTACCGGCCGTTTTTTGGCCGGATCGGCTTGACGAAGTCCCTCCACCGGTGCAGCCCCTCTCTTCCTTGTGTTGGTGAAAGGTCCTCCATCATCTAACCCCTCATTTTATTTTTTAGTTTTTCCAATTATTTAGTTAATTTAATTTAAATATTGTTTGTTAATTTAATTAATTGTTGTTGTTAATTGCATGTGTTGTTGTTATTGTTAATTGGTGATTTAATTAATATTATTGTAAATTGTTAATTTAGTTAGTTTATTTGTTAAAGAAATTTAATTGCTATTAAGTTTTTTTAATTGTGATAGTTTAAATGTTTAATTATTAATTTTATTGTAATTTTTAATTGTGTTGTTAATGTTACTTGTTAATTGTTGATTCAATTAATATTATTGTTAATTGTTAAAGAAATTTAATTTTTATTACTTTTTGTTAATTGTGAGTTTAATCGTTAAATTTATTGTTATTGTTATTGTTATTAGTAATTGTTGATTTAATTAATTTATTGTTAATTTTTAATTTAGTTAGTTAAATTGTTAAGAAAATATAATTGTTATCAATTGTTGTTAATTGTGAGAGTTTAAATTGTTAATTTTATTGTTAAGAAAATTTTTATTGTTAATGCAATTGTTATTGTTATTTTTATTAGTGTAATTATTACTTGGTAATTTAGTTAGTTTAGTGTTAAATGTTATTTATTAATTTAGTTAGTTTAATTGTTGGTATTTTTGAAAGTTAATTATTTTAGAAAATTGTTAATATGTTATTAGAAATATTTTAAATTTTTAGTAATTACAAAAATAATTAGTAATTAAAAAATTAATACTTGTTGAATTTAGAATAAGGAATTAAAAAATTAATAAGTGATTAGGTTTTATTAGTTGTTGATTATGTAAAAGTGTTAAGTAATTACAAAATTAATTAGTAATTAACAAATTAATTAATATTAAAATTTTATTTAGTAATACAAAAATAATTTGTAATTATGTTTATTTAGTCGTTGATTAAGTAATGGTTTTAAGTAATTAAAAAATTAATTAATAATTAAAAAATTAATTAAATTCTAATATTTATTTTGTAATTTTAAAATTTATTAGTAATTAAGCTTATTTAGTTGTTGATTAAGTTAAGGAGTTAAGTAATTACAAAATTAATTAAGAATTAAAAATTAAGTTTTTTTTGAAATTATATTTTAGTAAATACAACATTAAGTTATTAAAAATATTTTAAATTTTTAGTAATTAAAAAAATAATTTGTATTTAAAAAATTAATACTTGTTGAATTTGGATTTAGTAATTAAAATATTAAGAAGTGATTTAGTTTATTTAGTTGTTGATTAAATAGAGGTGTTAAGTAATTAAAAAATTAATTAATAATATAAAAATTATTAAATTGTAACATTTATTTTGTAATTTGAAAATTTATTAGTAATTAAGCTTATTTAGTTATTGATTAAGTTAAGGAGTTAAGTAATTACAAAATTAATTAAGAATTAAAAATTAAGTTTTTTTGAAATTATATTTATTAAATAAAAAATTAAGTTATTAGAAATATTAGAAATATTTATTAATTACAAAAATAATTAGTATTTAAAAAATTAATTCTTGTTGAATTATTATTTAGTAATTTAAAAATTAATAAATGATTAAGTTTATTTAGTTGTTGATTAAGTAAAAGGTGTTAAGTAATTACAAAATTAATTAATAATTTAATAATTATTAAATTGTACTATTTATTTTTTAATTTTAAAAATTATTAGTAATTAAGCTTATTTAGTTGTTGATTAAGTTAAGAAGTTAAGTAATTACAAAATTAATTAAGAATTAAAAAATTAAGTATTTTCGAAATTATATTTAGTAAATACAAAATTAAGTTATTATAAATATTTTAAATTTTTAGTAATTAAAAAAATAATTAGTATTTAAAAAATTTATACTTGTTTAATTTAGATTTAGTAATTTAAAAATTAATAAGTGATTAAGTTTATTTAGTTGTTCATTAAGTAAAGGTGTTAAGTAATTAAAAAATTAATTAATGATTTTAAAATTATTAAATTTTAAAATTTATTAGTAATTAAGCTTATTTAGTTGTTGATTAAGTTAAGAAGTTAAGTAATTACAAAATTAATTAAGAATTAAAAAATTAAGTATTTTCAAAATTACATTTAGTAAATACAAAATTAAGTTATTAGAAATATTTTAAATTTTTAGTAATTAGAAAAATAATTAGTATTTAAAAAATGAATACTTTTTGAATTTAGATTTAGTAATATAAAAATTAATTAGTGATTAAGTTTATTTAGTTGTTGATTAAGTAAAGGTGTTAAGTAATTACAAAATTAATTAATAATTTAAAAATTATTTAGTAAATATAATATTAATTTATTAGAAATATTTTAGATTTTTAGTAATTAAAAATTTAATGAGTAATTAAAAAATTATGGAGTTTAAAATGAATTCGGATTGTTCTTGAATTGATTTTAGATTAACCGATGGACTATTAAATGAACATTTCGTAGAAGGGATTAATGAATTTATTAATTTTGCGGTTAGTCATTCGAGTGTATGGATAGAAATAAGGTACAACATCTATATAAACTTACAAAATGTCAAAATCATAATTACGAAAAACTCGATACCATTAAGTATCATTTGATGAGATATGGTTTTGTGTTTGGGTATTACGTATGGAGATGTTTTGGAGAGAATGATTCGATCATTTATAACAATTTGATTAATTATGTTTAACAAGAACAAATATTTGATGATCATCAAGTCAATCAATACCACACAATAGTGATGGATGTAACTCGTCAATCATTTAATCTGTCTAATATAGACGAAGACCCAAACCCCGATGCCCAAGCATTTTACGATTTATTAGATGCATCGAATAGAGAAATATAGACTGATTCAAAAAACCATTCACGAGTTAACGATAATGTCTCGTTTGTTACATCTCAAGTTTAAACATCATTTGTCGGATAAGTGTTACGACGACTTATGTCAACTTATGCAAGAGTTGATGTCCGTCGATAATCGCATGCCGGAAGACTTTTACGAGTATAAAAAAATGATGAAAATGATGGGTTTATCTCGTTCAAAAGATCCACATTTGTATAAATGGTTGCATGATTTATTGGGGTGAAGACAACGAGAAAATCACTTGTAAAATTTATGATCATCCTCAATATCGAAACCCTATGCGGGGATTGATTACAAAAACATATGTCCCATATAAAAATATATTATTTTTCGATAACCTTACGATTACGAGAGGATGTATGCATTGACTGCCACCGTTGGTGACATGACGTGGCATGCGCAACATGTCTATGAGCTAGATGTCATGCATCATTGTTCATACTTCTTCGCATGGTGGCATTTTGACCAAACACATTCTTCTTTTGTATCAAAAATTAAGAATGTTATATTAGGTGTTTGCAATGATGGGTTTTAGTCTTTTAGTAAATCTGAACAATAATATTCTTTGTGGCATGTGATTTTAACCCCTTACAATTTTTCACTATAGAAATATATAAAAGAAGAATATATGTTCTTAACTATAATTGTCCTAAGTCCTAAAAAGCCTCAAGTCAATCTAGACGTATACTTACAACCTTTAATTAAAGAGTTGGTTGAATTATGAGAAGTAAGTGCTCTTACTTATGATATGTCCCGTAAAGATAATTTTTAGATGAAAGTCTGTCGTCACGTGGACAATTAGCGATTTTCTTGCATATTCAATGTTGTCGAGTTGGAGTACTACGGTTAAGACAACATGCCCATATTGTATGAAAAATTCCGATGGTTTTAGCCTTTGTAACGTTAGAAAAACTTCATGGTTTGATTTCCATCGAAAGTTTCGTCATAAAATCATTCTTTTAGGTGAAACAGGAACATGTTCAAGCAAAATTTTGTTGTTACGGACATTGCTTCTCGATCAAGTCCGGAATAAAAATTTTGCATGAATTACACCATTAGGGATTGTTGAAAGTAACGGAAGAGGGCTCGATGAGTATAACAATAATATATCTAAATATTATAGTTGAAAAAAATGTAGTATATTCTAGGATCTACCTTTGTTGGAGTTCTAATTTAATTCGGCATAATTTGGATATGATGCACTTTAAAAAAAATATATCTTCGATAATGTTTAATACGGTTATAAGTGTGTCGGGAAATACAAAAGACAATACAAATTATAGAGAAGACTTGAAGCTATATTATCGATAACCGAATTAGAAATAGCTAAAAACGCTAGAAAATACTCAAAAGCTTGTT